GATGTGCCATTCCATGCAGCATCTACTGATTTTTTTTATATTGAGAGCTAGCAATTTTATAACAATTCTCCAACACACACACATACACATACCCCACACACACACATACATGCACGCACGCTGCTCCCCAGCATTGTTATATTTTAATTTTTAGTTTAAATACTGTTTTTAATTTGTGTTGTTGTTGTTGTTGTTTTGAGATAGGGTCTTCCTGTAGCCCCAGTCTGGAACTTGATGTGTAAACTAGGCTAGCCTGGATCTCAGAGGTCTGCCTACCTCTGTCTTCAGGATGTCCCACCATGCCTGGCTTTAATTTAATTTCATAAAATGCATAAATGTTATTTTTTTACTGAGCCAAAAAGCACACATTTTTTTTGTAATTATTGCTTCACTTGTTCATTTTCTTATTTTTCTGTGCACTGATGTTTGCCACATTTCCCAACACATCTGTCAGATGCAAAGTAGTATTTTTCCCAAATTCTCATTGGATAATTTCTTCTTTCTTTTGTGTGTGTGGTGTGTGTGTGGAGGTATACATGTGTAGGTGTGTGTGCATTTGTGTGGAAGCCAGAAGTTGGTGTCAGCTGTCTTCCATTATTGTACGCCACCTCACCTTTTTTTACTATTTAAAAAAGTTGTATTTCTAATTTTGTGAGTGCAGGTGCCTGCTGAGGCCAGAAAATGTTGGATCACCTGAAGCTGGAGTTATCGGCAGTTGGGCACACTGTGCACTGCCTAATGTGGGTGCTGGGAAGGGAACTCAGTTTCTCTGCAAGAGCAGTAAGTGCACTTAGCTGCTGAGCCATCTCTCCAGCCCTATACCTTATCTTTTTGAGACAGGGTCTCTCACTGAACCCAGAGCTCGTCAATTAGACTGGCTGGTCAGCAAGCTCTGGAGATCCACTTTCTGTGTCCTCCCAGCACCGGGGTTACAGATGTTTATACCCTGTGCCATTTTACATGGGTTACAAATCTATACACCTGTGCCTTTTTCCATGGGTTATAGATGTGTACACCCATGCCTTTTACATGGGTTACAGATGTGTACACTTAGGCCTTTTACATGGGTTACAGACGTGTACACTTAGGCCTTTTTACGTGGGTTACAGATGTGTACACCATGCCTTTTTATGTGTGTCAGGGATCTGAACTTGTCTCATGTTTTCATAGCAGGCACTTTACCCACTGAGCCATCTCTCCACCTCCTCCCTTTTCTTTTTTCTTAAGAGATCTCCCCTGAATGTCTCTGTCCTCTTTGTTCTATAAGACACAGCTGTTGTCCTGCCCTCACCTCTCTACTCTCTAAATATACTGATCGGTCTCTAGAATCATTTTGTATATTGGTTTATTTTCACACATCTATGCACATTCTCTAGCAACTTCCTAATAGAGTACATAGGAAATATGTACTTGGTTTGGTTTGGTTGTTTTGAGACTGTCTTGTTATGTAGCCTGTGTTGGCCTTGAACTCACTATGTAGCCCAGACTGTCATGAAACTTGTGATCCTCCTGTCTCAGCCTGCCCAGTGCTTCCATCACAGATGTGTGTCACCATGCCAGTAGGATTCCTTTTTGTCAGTCTTTTCAAGTCTGAAAATGTTTGTGCTTTCCTTCCATGCTTGATTACTAGCTGAGCTGAATACACATCTCAGATTGAACATGGTTCTCAGAATTCTGTAGGGATGGTCTTCAATCTTTAGAATCAGGGCTCTATGGAGAATCTGATGCCATTCTGACTACTTGAAGCTTTTCTGTGGGGCTTGCCCCTTGCTCTTCCTTTCCCTCTTGTTCTTCAGACTTAAGAATTTTTTTCCATAGTGCTCAAAAATCTTATGTTATGTAGCACTAGTCTTTTGTACTCGTTTTACTAAGTATTCACTGGGCCTTTTAGATTGGAAGCTCATATCCTTTAGTTCTAGGAAATTTTCTTTCATTGTTATTTGCTAGCTTATTTCCTGCCATTTTCTACTTTCTCCTTTTGAGATTTATTTACATTTTGTACCCCATGTGTGGATCCTTCCATGTTTGCTTTTTCTCTATTTCCTTCCTTGCTTCCTCCCTCCTTCCTTCCTTCCTCCCTTCTTCCTTCCTCCCTCCCTCTTCCTCCCTTCTTCCTTCCTTGCTTCCTCCTTCCTTCCTCTCTCCTTCCTTGCTTCCTCCCTTCCTCCCTTCTTCCTTCCTTGCCTTCCTCCTTCCTTCCTCTCTCCTTCGTTCCTTGCTTCCTCCCTTCCTTCCTCCCTCCTTCCTTCCTTCCTCCCTCCCTCCCTCCTCCTAAAATGAGAAAATAACTTTTGGAGAAATTTATAAATCAGGCTCTAACATTTTGGTCAGCAAAGCTTCAACTGTTTGATTTACCAAGTTTTAATACTTTGCTTAAAATGTAAAACTAATGGCTTAGGAGGAATTTTCTAGGGTTTTAGTGGTCTTACGGGATTAAAATTATTTCCTCTGCTACTGGGAATGAGGCAAAGAAGCAAGTTGTTCTGACTCCTGTCTAAGGGTATTGGGCCCTAGGTCAACGCAAACAGGCAAGAGAAAGAAATACTAGGCAAGCAGATGAGAATAGAAAAATAAAACTGTCTCTGATAACAGACAACATGATGATTATATAGCAGATTCCAAAGAGTCTACAAAGAAAAATGGGGTTAGGGGCCAAGAGGATAGCTCAGTGAGATCTGTCTAGCAAGCACAAGGCCCTGGGTTTGATTCCTGGCACCAGGGGCCAGGGGGGCTTTAGCAAAATGCAAAGTTGACATGCAAAATGAGTGTATTCCTGTATAATACTAGCAATGAAAAACTAAAACAGAAATTAAAAAATCTAGACAATTATAAAGACAAAACATGGTTTTGTTCTTTCATAGGCGCTAAGAACAGATGTAACACCCTGAGTATTGTTGCTGATAAGAAAAGTTGCTTTCTCTTGCCAGATGTGGTGGTGTACTCCTTTAATCCCAGAACTAGGGAGACAGAGGCAGGAGGATCTCTGTGAGTTTGCGGCCAGCCTGGTCTACATAGCGAGTTCCAGGCCAGGTGGGGCTTCAGGGAGACCCACTCAAAAAACCAGAAATTTCTGTGGCCTCAAACTCACAGAGCCTGCCTCTGCCTCCCAAATGCTGGGATTAAAGGCATGCACCACCACACCAGCCAAAGTTAGTTTCTTAAATAAGCAATTATTTTCTTCCTCTTCCTCCTCCTCCTCATCTTCCTCCTCCTCTCCCCCCTCTTCTTCCTCCTCTTCCTTCTCCTTGTATAATAAATACAAATTGTCTAGTAGCTGCCACTTTAAGGAGGCAGTAATTTGATGCATTTCCTCATGTTATCTCATGGTACTGCTAGGAAGCATTAGCTAGACAACTATGTCAAACAGTTTAATCCTAGCAGACTATCAGAAACCACCAATAAGTCATTGGGCATTGTTAATCTTTTGAACAGTTTGTACTATAATTTCTATTACTGGGTAGATGGCTTATTAACATATATATTGTTCTATAAAGTCCACAGTAGACTTGGCCCTCCCACATCAATCCTCAATCAAGAAAATCTCATAGACATGTCCACAGGCCAGTCCAATCTGGGAAATCTTCAAATCCCTCAGTCTCTTCTCAAGTGACTTTTAGTTGTGTCAAGTTGACAGTAAAAACTAACCAGGACATACATGTTGTTAAAGAATAAATAGAAATATTTGCAGATTTTCAGTTTTGGACCTGTTATCTTGGTGGCTACTAAATGGTTTAAGTGTACTTTCTCTTCACCCAGTTTATAAAAATAATGGCATATTACATTCTGCCAGATTTTTGGACTTTGCCATTTTCCTTAACAGTATAGCTTGGAAATAATTCTTGGTATTATTTCACTTTATTATAATTATTATACTTTCCTTTTCCTTCCCTCCCTTCTTCCCCTCCTCCCTCTTCTCTGTCCTTTCCTTCTCTCTTTTTCTTCCTTTCTCTCCCTTCCTTCCTCCCTCCCTCCTTCACTCCTTCCTTCTACCCTCTAGCCCAGGCTGGCTTTGAATTCACAGTCTTCCCAGATCATCATCCCCAGTGCTGGGATTAGAGGTGTGCACCAGCTTCCTAGTTCATTCCAAAATCTTACATAAGGGATTACTCTTGACAACTGTGCATTAGTCCATAGTGTACTATAACTTACTAGCGAGTCCTCTACCAATGGATATTTAGGTAGTTTTCAGTTTGTTGCTATTTAGAAACAATACTGTATCAAATGCAAAGAAAATATCCAAAACATTTTCTTAAGCATTTATATGATTTTGGCCTGATGGACAGCATGCTATGTGAGAAGCATATAATAAAATCATACCCTCTTAGCTGGGCGTGGTGGCACACGCCTTTAATCCCAGCACTCGGGAGGCAGAGGCAGGCAGATCTCTGTGAGTTCAAGGCTAGCCTGGTCTACATAGTGAGTTCCAGGACAGCTGGGGCTACAGGGAGACCCTGTCTCAAAAAGACCAAAAAAAAAAAAAAAAAAAAAAATCATACCCTCTTAAGCCTTATTACAGTATCAGCATAGCTTCATTAAAAGTTTATTACATTTAGTTATTATTTGTGTCTGTGTGTGTAGGTGCACATATGCCACAGTGTGCATGTGGAGGTCAGAGGACTTGTGGGAGTTGGGTCTCTCCTATTGTGTAGGTCCCAGGGATCAAACTGAGGTCGTCAGGCGCACTCCTTACCCCAACAGGCCGGCGCTAACATAGCTTCTACTAACTCAATTATGTGAGCAAGTGTAAAATATATTGTAAATTAAATTTTTTATTGTATGTGTGAATGGGGGGGTGGGCATGTGCATGCCATGGTGCACTATGGGGGTCAAAGGACAACTTTCTGGAGTAGGTTCTCTCCTTCCACCTTTATATGGGCTCCAGGGATCAAACTCAGGTTCATCAGGCTTGCACAGCAAGCACTTTACCCACTGAGCCATCTCACCAGCCCACAGGAGTTTTGATCTTACTCACGATGATTGTTACCTGTCTCTTCCTACAGTGTGAAGATTGCTCCTGGAGCAGTTGTCTGTGTAGAAAGTGAAATCAGAGGAGATGTGACTATAGGTAAGATAATAGTTCAGTAACACTTTTTTGAGAATTGATGTCACAGAATTACGTTTAGACACTTTTTTCTGACTGGCTTTCCCTGGGACTCACTATGTAGACCATCCCAGGCTGACCTTCATCTCAGTTATCCACCTGCCCCCATCTCTCAAGTGCTGGGATTAAAGGCGTGTGCCTCCACACCTGGATGGAAGTAGTAAAATTTTTTTAAAAGTTTTATGTGTATGAGTGTATTGTCTGCATGTATGTAAGTGCATCTGCATCATGCAGTGCCTTCAGAGGTCAGAAGATGGTGTCAGATCCCCTGGAACTGGAGTTCCAGACAGTTGTTAGCCACTATATGGGTGCTGGGATTCAAACTTGGGTCCTCTGCAAGAGCCCAAGTGCTCTTAACCACTGAGCCATCTCTCCAGCTCCATAGTAAAATTTTTAAGGAAGATAAACTATAGTGATTTGATGTTGATCAAAATATGAGTTCAAGCTAATATCTGTTAATATGTATTACTATGTAATATATATGCTATAACAATCTGTTAATATATATTGGGACTGGGAAGATGTCTCCACTAAGAACATTAGTTGCTTTTGCAGAGAACCCAGGCTTGGTTCCCAGCACACACATGACAGCTAATAACTGTTCATAACTCCAATTCCAGGGGTTTTGACACCCTCTTCTGCCCTCCATGGGCATTGCATAACACAAGTGCACTTATGTACATGCAGGCAAAACACTCATACTCATAAAATAAAAACAAATCCAAAAAAATTTAAATATGTATATATACAGTGATACTGGGGATAAGACAGTTGCTAAGCAGATGCACTGAGCTGTCCTCCAGGCTCATGTTACATTTGTTTTGGAACAAGTTCATATTTAAAAGTAAGGAAAAGGTTCTGAAGAGTGACACATTTGTGGCCCTGTGTCTCCACGCTTTATCCTCACTTGTTGTGCCTGTTTCTTTTTCCCATATTCAAGCCTCAAGTTTCTTTAATGGTGTGTATAAATAGAGGAATTTCCCAGAATTGGTATTTAGGCAATCATTTCTGTAATTGTCACATTTGGTATAAAATATCTCTAATCTTTTGAGGGTTATTCATTTTTCTAAAGTAATGCATCAGATTAGAAACTCCTAGGAGATATAAAGTGTAGTCAAAGCAGAGGATGGAAATAAGTTATCTGATTACAGCTCTTCTTGCCCACATCTCACTTTTCATTTGAGCTTTTGTTTTTGTTTTTGCTTAGGTTGCTAGAATAGTTGATTTAAATAGTTTTCTGTTGTACTATGGAATTGGATTTCAGTGCTGGAAAACTCTGCTTACTAAAGAGTTGGGTAGCAGTAAACAGAAGTGTAGTTTAATCAGTCAACTTTCAGGATGCTTTGTGTAACTTTCTAACTCTTTTTTTTTTTTTTTTTTTTTTTTTTTGAGACAGGGTCTCCTTGTAGCCCCAGTTGCCTGGAACTCACTGTGTAGACCAAGCTAAGCTGGCCTTGAACTCACAAAGATCCTTCTGCCTCTGCCTCCTGAGTACTGGCATTAAAGGCATGCGCCACCACACCTGGCTCCATCATTTTATGCTTTTACCAAGTACTCCAGTCTGAACTATCCCAGAAGAAGGCAGTATTTTATTTTATTTTATTTTATTTTTTATTTCCTTTCCTTTCCTTTCCTTTTCTTTTGTCTTTTTGAGACAGGGTCTCCCTGTAGCCCCAGCTGCCCTGGAGCTCACTATGTAGACCAGGCTGGCCTCGAACTCAAGATCCGCCTGCCTCTGCCTCCCAAGTGCTAGGATTAAAGGCATGCGCCACCACAACGGGCTCTTTTTTAAAAAAAAAAATTTTTTATTGAATTGTTGTTTCATACAGAACATCTCAATCTTAATCATCTTTATACTCCCTTTCCTACTATGTTTGTGGGACTTTAAACTGTATCTGCAATTTTCTAGAAAATCAGGTATTTGCTTTATCAGAGAAATTGATTTGTAGTCTAAAGCCAGGCTTGCTAGTGTACGCCTGTAAACCCAGCACATAGGAGGACTGCCTGTGAGTCTGAGGCCAGCCTGGGCTACATAGCAGCACTCTGTCTCAAAACCAAAAGGTAAAGGTGTGGGGAGGTGGGGAGGAGCTGGAAGTCTAGCCTGGTGAGGAGCTTCTGGCTTACAGCGCTGTTGGAGTTCTCCATCACAGTTCTCATTGTTAATTGTAATTTGGCTGGATGGAGTTCCCAGCACCAAACTTATTATTCATTAGACTGCTACGACTTTTCTGTGTGTCTTCATTTTGTGATCTGAAGAGCACGTGGAAAGGTCCCCAGCATAGTCAGAAGTGCCTTCAAGTGTGAGGGCTGACTGCTGCTGGTAGGCCAGGGCTTGGTTGGGACATGGGCTGTGAAGGCAGATGGGGCATAGTGGGGAGTTAACTCATTCTCCTGGCCAGGGCTGTCTACAGATGGAAAGCCCCTTTACCTTGGAATCTTCCAGTAAGGCAGAACAGTGGCCAAGAGGTTGTTTAGTTTTCAAGACAGAGTTTGAGCTTTCTTGAGTTACTGATCCATGAAATGCTGTCTGTAGTTAAGGTGGACAGGAAAAGCGTCCTTGACCAAATGAGGGAAATGGAAACGTGATGAGGAGGGCCTTCCTGGCCTAGCTGCCTCGAGTCCAGCCAGCCGCTTAGAAAAATAATTCATCGTCCAGTTACGGCAGTGCCGACTCAGACACGTTTGTCCAAACAAGGAGATAAGCCAAAGAGGGTTTCAGCACATTCAGTGAGAAAACACACAAGCTGCCCTGCTGGGAAGAGCGCCAAGAAGGTTCCAGCAGAGCTAAAGGGGGAGGGAAAGACGCCGTGGTGACGGGCTTTTATTTTTGAAGCATTTAACCTCAAGGCCTTTAACGTGGCTTCAAGTGAGACCCATTCTAGGTAAAGGTGCTTGTGGCACGCAGGGAAGTGCCGAGGAAGCTGGGGTTTCTGCTCGCGCCTCCCAGAGGAAAATGCAGACAGCTGTACCCCCACCCCCTTCAAGTCCCCAAACGCCGTCCTAGTAGCTGCGTGCCGACGGCCATGCATGCTGACCTCGGCCATACTAGCCTCGCTCCTGCTAACCCCGCTCATGGGACTCTTCAGTTATTGCTGCCCGCAGCATCTACTCTGACCTCTCAAAGGTGAACTGTCCACGTCCTATTATTTCAGCCCAGCACACCGCGACCTGCAGTTTGGCGGTGCTGCCAGCAGGTGGCAGAAGTGTCTGACTCACAGGCCTTGCCTAAGCTGCTGCGTGCCTGTTATCACCAAGGGCTAGGCCCTGAAATTTATAACCAGGTGTTTTCCAATCACCTATCAAATAAATTAATAATAATTAACAAATAATGACAGTAACGAAAACCAGGTTAAAACATTTCAGGCTAATGTATAAGTTGTCTTATGGGAGATTGTACCTCAGTTTTAAGAGTGCTTACCTAGCATTCATGAGGTCCTGGGTTCAACTCCTGCAACAAGGAAAAAGTTGTATGACTTGGGATTATTTCATTTTTCAGAATTCATGTTGTGGCTGGAGAGATAGTTCAATGGTTAAGAGTACTGGCTGCTCTTGCAGAGAACCCAGGTTTGGTTCCCAGCATCTACATGGTGGCTAACCATGTAACTGTCTGTAACTCCAGTTCCAGGGGATCCAGTGATCTCTTCTGACCTCCACGGGTGTTGCACAACACAGGTGCACTTACATACATGCAGGCGATATGCTCATACACATAAAATAAAAATAATAAAATATTTTAAATGCATGCTGATTTGTTTTTGTTATATTCTTTTGCTTTACTTGTTTGGTTTGGTTGGCTTTTGGGGTTTTTTGTTTTTGTTTTTTCTTTTTGACACAGAGCATCTCATAGCCCCAGGCTGGCCTCCAACTCACTACGTAGTCATGTGACTCTGAACTGATCCCCCTGCTTCTTCCTTCTAAATGCTGGGATTACAAGTGTGTACCACCATGCTCAGCTGTGTATATTGGGGGATGGGGGGAATGTGTGGGCGTGGGTGTAGGGCACATGCATGTGTGTGAATATGTGGGGGGGGTGTAGGGCACATGCATGTGTGTGAAAATGGGGGGTGTAGGACACGTGCATGTGTGTGAATATGTGGGGGGGGTGTAGGACACACGCATGTGTGTGAATATGTGGGGGGCATGTGCACATGCATGTATGTGAATGTGTGGGGGTGTGGGCACATGCGTGTGTGTGAATATGTGGGGGGGTGTAGGGCATGTGTACGAGACTGT